ATCGACAGTTGGGTCTTTCAAGATACACTTACACAGCCTCAAAAACCTCTCCCTTTACCACACCACTATTGCCCGCCGCCGCCTTCTTCCTCCAATTTCTGCACATAAGCCTTCAAAAGCATGACCAACTCCCTCGCCGGCGCCTGAATAGTCCCCACCAAGCTCGACGCCGGACTATTCAACGTCCCAAGCAACTTAGCGTAAATCTCTGCCCTCGTTGGCATTGTCTCGAGCTGCTTAAAGTCCCCAGGCCCGTAAAATTTCCCTTCGAAAACCGCCCCGGTGAAGTCGTTGCTGTCGAGCTTTTTCTCCTTCTGGAAATCCCTGTAGGGCTTGATCGCCGGCGGGATTTCCTCGCTGTGGACGAAGAGCCAGGCGTTCATCCCCGTCATGCACGGCTTGAGCGCCTCCCACGGCGTCCCCTCGATTGCCTTGTAGACCAGCGTGTTCTTCGCCACAATGAGCTTGGTGGTCTCCGGCAGGACTTTCCGGAGGTCCTGGAATTGCTTTACGGTGAGGCCCTTGTAGCGGATACCGGCCATGAGGTGGCAGTTCTCGAGATTTTCCTTGATGGTTTCGACGGTCTGTTCCTTTTTGGTGCGGGAGATGGCGGAGCGGATTGTGGGGAGGCGGTGGTGGTGGTGGTGGTGGTGGCGGGTGGGGCGGGAGGTGAGGGAGAGAAATGAGTTGGTGGAGGGTCGGGCCAGGAGGGATTTGGGTTGGGTTTGGGTTAGGGAGGGTGATGGGGGTTTGGAGCAAGGGAAGCTGAAGAGAGTGGCTTCCATGGTCGCAGAATATGAATTGAGAAGCGAGAGTGTGCTTTTGGGGCTTTTCCTTATCTTATCCGTCCAATTTTTGGGAAGGGGTAGGGACCGTAGGGTGGGAAAATTATGTGAGCAACAATGTGGACATTTGAGAAAGTTCCTCAAGTTTTAGGTAATTCACTTGAAACCCAATTCCCAATTTTTATGAAAAACTATTTCCAAAGAGGGGTGGGTATAAAAACCGTCGTACTGGAAAATCGAATTGAACCGTGAGAAAGAAAACTAAAAAAAAAATGTGTTGACCAAAAAAGTTAAAAGCAGGTAAAAAATGATTGGTTTCAATTCCGATTTTGAAGGGAATTACTTGTTCCCAATTAGTATACAAAACTATTTCCAAATTCAAACAACTTCAGAGACGGAAAATACTCGGTTCCTTCTAGTAGAAAAATCACTATTTGACATATACGTAGAAATTTTTTTGCTAATTAATGAGTTATTTTAACATAGACGGTCACATGTAATGAGGAATATATCCTTACACAATAGTGTTCTTTAGAGAAACTCTTATAGTCCTAAAAAGCTCAAGTCTTTTTCGCTTATTTTCATCTTTGGTGATTGATTTGTATAATTAGGCCTTCAACGGGTCGGAAATTTTGAGTATGATGTCTAAATTAGAATCAAACTCATACAGTAGTCCGGAAAAATTGAATCCAATATAAGTGTTTCCAATTGTTGAGTATAATACATGCGTCCCGTGAGTTTGATTCATATAAAATAGTGGCCCTCAATTTTTAAACTCACACCATTACAACTTTATGAGGACTTAAGATTGTTTGGGCCAATAAGGCATGGATTCCAACAGTCTGTAAATACACAAGTAAAAATATGACAAAATGTAGTTTGTGAAGGAAACTACAACGAATTAGACACTTGAACTAGTTCACCAATTTTACAGAGAGCAACCTTTAAGCTACAATAAACCAGAATTTGACATATTTTCCCTACGATGAAAATCCTCTACGAAAACAAATACAAAAAAAGGATCAATCCCATCGCGGCGAGACCATCCTGTGCTCGAAAAAGATCCTCCGAAACTAGAAAAAGCTAACCACACTCTCAAATCTCAACAAGGATTCAGAGGCCCGAATACATAAAAGTGAAAAGTTATTTGAAACTATATTAATATGTCAGCGGTAATACCGTGCATCACAAATCAAACTGCGCTTCTGCTTAGCAACTCCAAAAGCTCAGCCTTCTTCATCTTCGAAAACCCTTTTACACCTCGAGATTTTGCTATTACCCTCAATTCTGGCAGCTTCAATGTACTCAAGTCCCTACTTTCAACAAGTTCTCCTTCGTACTCATTGCCTTCAATAAGAGTTTCTTCAGGAACTGAAATCTCATCTTCTGAGGTCTGGTCCTCTAACAGTTGAGAAATCCCTTGCTCAGGCTCAGGTTCAGGCTCAAATTCAAACTTAGCATCATGCTCGGGCTCATGGTCAAGTTCTGCCTCCAACTCAAGCTTTGGCTCGGGCTCTGGTTTAGGATCTCTGTCAACATGATTCTTCGTTCTTTTCCCAGTTGAATTCACATGTGGTACTGTGTTGCCTATGTGATCATCCTCAGAATAAATGGCCTGGTATGTTAACCGAGGAATGGGAGACTTGCGTTGAAAATTTGATGCAGGCCTGCTGAAGGAGGCTGTAGGTTCTTCAACCTCGTCCTTCAAAAGGTTATTTGAATCAAAGGCAGCTTTGTTATTTGAATCAAAAGAAGCTGTGTTTTTTCTTTCACTATATCGGGAATTATTTTCTGGTTGGTCCAACGTGAAGTCCTTGTTGCTGCTGCCACTGTTGCTGTTTCTCTTTGATTGCTCAACCGAGTGTTTTCTTAACAGGTTAAGGAGGGAATCCACAGTCGCATTCTCTTTACCATGCCCTTGTGAAGCTTCAACCTTCCTTTCTTCTTTAACTGCACTTCTCTCCCGAAGTTGAGTCTGGACCTTCCGGAACAGCTCAACAATCTCTTTTTCTCTAGGTCCAGGGGATGCAGTGGCCCCGAACTTTGTGTTACTTGAAAGAGAGACCAATGACCCGTTTTTAGAAGAAAGCACATCAGATTCGTCAAGGTTTTCAAAGCCATCTCTTTCTACACTTTTCCTATTCCTGCTCCGGGAGTACCCATGTCTGTTTTGCCTTGGAAAGTCTGGATTTCTATTACGACCACTAGAACTTGCTCTGCACGTAAAAGATACCCCCTTGCAAGCACCTCTCGGTGATCCAATCCTGATCTGTGACTTGAACTTATGGTTGAAACGAGAAGAGCAGTGACATAAAGGGGCTACTCTTCCGGAAATTCCTGAATAAGGAAGACATTTGGCATCTGATGGTCCATAACCTGGAAGAAAACCACCATCATCCAAAAATCACAATGCAATAAACCTAACATAGAAATGAAAGCTACAAGCAATATCCACAACCCCAATTCACCTGCTACATGTGCAAACATTCCCCACTCACCGAAAAAGTACATAGTTGCGTTCCTTGTAACAAGACAGCCTAATAGAAAACCGAAATCCCACATGTGAAATCTTCCTTAGCATTCAAATGCAGCCAGTAGTTATCAATAAAAAAAATCCCAAGGCAATGCAAGATGGAAATTAAAAGTCGAGACGCGACATGAGAGCTAAATCCTTCTGTAGCCATTTGTTATATGCAAGTGCTGTTCATACAAAATCTTTTCAACAAACACCTGGTGGGAACTCTAACCAAAATGTGCAATTTTGAAAAAGAACAACACAGACATGAATACTTCAAGATACCAACGAAACCAATCACAAATCGGATAACCCACATCTTAAAAATAAAAAAGCGATATGGAAAGAGCCTACAAACTCCAGCCTACGTAGAAAGTTGGAAACGCAGCAGAGTTTTGTTTCGGTTTATGAGAAGCTCACCGATGATATGAACGCCTTGTAACATTTTTGTGGAGATTAGAGGCAGACAAGGAGAGCTTTCAGTTCAGTCGTCAATGGCGGATTCGCATTTTCTGGCGTGCTAGCTGATGGTAGAGCTCTTTCGAAGCGTTAGTCTCTTTGCTTTGGTAAACCCTATAGCGCCATTGATAAGGGACTCGTTTGTGGGTCAGACTCGGGTCATTTGACCCGGTTATTTTTTAGGCCCCGTTTTCTTTTGTTATTTTTTTTATTTTTTATTTTTTAAAAGAAAAAAAAAGATTAGCTAGTGATTTCATCACAACGCTTCATTCGGAGCCAGAAAGATTCATAAAGACATTTCAACCTTCCTTGGTCATCATCGTGCTGTTCAACAGGGCCAAAAATTTAACTCATGACATATCGTATGAAATACGAGCCTGAAATTTATCTCCAATTACTAGGTCACTCTGTGGCGGTTGTTTATTGTTGTTAGTTCCATTTAGCCCTCGTTTTCTTTTTATTCTTATTTTTTTAGCAAGCTACATCAAATTTGTCCACAAAATAATGTGTTACCAATGAAATTTTTTTATTCAAGTTAGAATTTAATTAATAATTGTCATAAAATAAATATGTGGTGTAAAATATACCAATTTTTTGGTGCAGAAAGTTAGTGTATTAATGATCAGTTGGGTTAAGACCAATTTACCAAATCATTGTGGCTCCTCTTTTACTCAAGTTCAAACCCATATTCGGAAATGGATCCTCTTAGGATCCCTTCCTCCTAATTCACCAAATTAGAGAATTCATGCCGTTGAAAATTGATCAAACAGCTGAAGTTATTATGACTTTTAAAGTGAACCCTTGTTTGTAACAGTTGGATCAAATTTTAACAGTACGAATCCCGTGATTTGGTGGATTAGGAAGAAGGGATCCGGAGAGATCCCTTTCCCCTATATTCCTATTTCCTACACAAAATATCAACTCAAGTTCAAACCTATATTTCTATTTCCTACACAAAACATCGTCTCCTAAGAACGATATCAACTACGTCCTGTACTGCTGCGCCCATATAACAGTTCAGTTTATTTCTTTTAAAGTTACAAAATCTTAACCCCGTTAGTTTAACCGTCTAGTTAACTTTTTTTTTTTTCCTAACACGGGTGCCAAATTCCATGTCATGTTAAGATATATACTGCGCCTATGCGAGGAAAAATATTGGCTCACTGAATGCCCCGCGAAAATAATAGCAATTTACTTGATAGTTTGACGAAGCGAAGCTCAATTTATGAGGTGTTTAATACTACTACAACATGAGATTTTGGATTTGATGCATGCAAGTAGCACAGAGGAAACTAAGCATAAATGGATCTTGTTGAAACACAAGAAAGTATATTCCGCCGGAAGGATCAACACACAGACATGCCAAGGATTTAAATATAGGTCTAAAAACTTGACAACGTCTAGGTTTTCTCTTCTCTCTGTTAGTTTTTCGGAGTACAGCGCTGTTCCAAACTCCGTCGAAAGACAAATACCGCTCTAAACTCAAATTCGTTACAGGCCGCTTCTGTATTCTTCAGCAAAAACTAAACGTGCCATTACTGAAGTAGGAGCACCTGAACAAGCACCATAAACTCACAACCATCTATCTTTATTTTTCTTCTTGTACTCGAAACAAGGGGAAGAACAGAGAAAGAAGAAAAATGATCCGATAAGCAATTGGGAGGAAAGTAGGTACAAACCAAGTTAGCAGTCATTGCTTTATGAGGACATACTTCAGGCTTTGTGGTTTTTTGCCATCTCATCGACATCCAATTCAACTTGTAGAACTGGTGCATCCTTTCTCATGCTAGAATGGCTGGACAAAGAATATAACAAACACAAATATTAATCACTGCAGAACTTCTCGTCGTATAAAACAAAGATGGGTTGAGCACATTTAGTTTGAGTAACTCGCCTGTTCTGCACGGGGCCATGATCCACAGCTGTTCGTAAACAATATATGACTCTGCCAACTATGCCTGTCATGGAAACTGGCCCAAACTTTCGACTGTCATTGGCTTCCTGCCAGAAATAAGAACGAATACTAATCCATCTATTCCCAAATATTCAAGTAAAGCTATACAGAGAATGTCATAGTTCACCCTAATTGTGTACATTTGTGTCAAAGCTAGAATATGTCAAAATGGTGAGTTGTAAATTTAGTCAAAATTCTAAACACGAGGAAGGAGGAGAGAGAGAATCCTGAATATCATATATTTTAGGTGAGTTTCAATTCTTACATGATCATAGAATCAAGAGATTATGGAACTATAAATGAGCATGTGATGTATGTGTTGCATATTTATGAATCTTGATTCAAGTGAAACGTCTATCTTTAATTATTCAATTTGTCATCTATTTCCAATAGTTTCCCAAATTTTCGATTTATGCCTCCAGTTCCATGACTTTCTTAAAGATTCTCAAATGTCTGTACCCATTTCATGAAACAACCTCCTCAACTAACAAGCTGTTGCTCAAGTATAGTTCATAAAAGATTTACGCTTGATAGATGTTACAACCAAACCAATAGATGGCAATCAAAATTCCACACATATGTAATGATGACAATATACTCAGCTGCTGTGCTACAGCTATTTCCAAATAATAAAACATAAAAGTAAGTGTGAATGGACTCATAAAGGAACTGTGCAAACTGTGAAGTAACCGAGCAAATATACTTGATACATTTGTCTGAACATAACTATAAAAATTCTGAATATGGCATTGTACCTTGGGCTTCAAATTTTCATTATCAGCCAGCACCCAGCATTCATCCTTGTCAAGGACAAAAGGCTCATCCTTTTCATCCGTAGACAACATTTCATACCCTTCAATTGCAGCCAATCTTCTGACAAGATAACTATCTGGTTTCTCCGGGTCCTTCAAGACCACTACATCCCCAACAAAGATACGCCTGTCAGATAAATATGAGGATGTCAATTGAGCTGTTAGGAACCATAAAAAAGGTCGTACCCAATGCACAAGGCTCCCGCTTTACGCAGGGTCTGGGAGAGGTGAATGTCGGCTAGCCTTACCCCCATTTATGGAGAGGCTGCTCCCAAGTCTCGAACCCGAGACCTACCGCTCATGGGCAAAGGCACTTGCTATAAATTAACATAAATTAACATAAATCGATATGAAAAAGAAAATGAACATGTTTCACACAGAGGTATCAATCTCTGTAAAAAACAGGTAATGATCAAACCAGAAGGACTCAGCTCGGGACCATCTTTAGAAGAATGACAGGCAGAACACAACACGATTAAGCACCAGAAAGCTTATCACCAATCCATGTGAGAATTCAGAGCACAAGTTGAATAAAAGCTCACAATACATGGTAAGGGCCTGCTTTAACAATATAGAGGCTCAATAAGAGCGACTAAGCCAAGAGCTTACACCAACTTCAACTTTTCATGTATCCATGGACAAACAGCACAGGCAACCAAAGTGGTCCACAAATCTATTTATGACCTTTCCTAAACTGCACCCAAATTGACAAAGTATAAATGCTGAAGAAAAACACCCTAATTGCTCATCATCACAAGAAGTAAACTAGAATTGATTTACTATCCTCAAGTTTCCGAAGGCATTTATGATATCTCAGTTCCTTCATGAAAACCCTACCACTTGCAGTCCCGCATAAAAAGCTGATCTACGGCCAACAACTTAACAAGGGTTTTATTGTTTTAGATGCACGATCTTAGATCATTACATAAAATGCTTAAACTGGTCCTAGAGTATCTTTGGAAGAAGAGAGGACATATTTAAAATGGTAATTACTTTGGATCTGCAGCTGGTATCTTCCGAACAAGAAGAGTTCCCCCTTGTGCCCCTATACTAGGGGCCATCTCCTCTCCTTTATTCCAATGCAAGTATGTCAGCCTTCCCTGAAATAGATTTTTAAAAAGAGCATCACCCATTTCTTTGTCCGTGATTTGACCTCTGTGATAGTTCTGCATTACATGAACACTTTTGACTTAAAAACGTAAAAGAACAATATAAAACAAAAGTCGTTTATAAAGCTTTCACTGACTTAAAGGTAACCCCTGTGAATGGAAAGTAAGAATCTATCTTTAAGATTGCAGAAGAACCAGAAGTAAATTAAGTGTTACTTGACCATCTAAACCATCTGCCAAGCTAACCCCTTGTGCTTATAAATACTAATAAAAACTTATGAAAGGATAACCCACATTACAGCTCACCCCAAGTTACATATGAAAAACTGAGGGAGATAACTGGTTCCCCAATTTCACAATTGAGTTTGAACATTCAAAAGACGCGCATCAAAGGCAAGGTAAGCACACAAATCATGTTTTAAATGTTCCTACATTCTTAAGAATAGCTATAAAGCTTTTTTCTTTTGACAATGCAATATTCTAATAAAACTACTCTAATCTGCGGGAAAAGGGCCGGCACTCCATGATCACGTCGAATCCTTATGAAAATGAATCCAGAACAAAATCGCGCTAAAGCTAGGGCGTCACCCGTAAGTGGCGCGCTGTGTGGCCTGAGCACAGTGATAAGTGAGCAAGGGTCGCTGCATCTCCATCGGCACCCGGATGCAGTGTTAAATGAGCAAGGGGGCCATAGAAACTTCTTTTCGAACGACTCCACTCAAAGTTGTTTGGGAGCATATGCTCCTATCAACTTTACCCGGGACACACAAAAGAAGTACTTTGATCCTATTAGACGGGGGAGGGTGAAGAAGCTAGGACATAAGGGTAGAGTTCAAGAGAGCAAAATGCGTTTAGGAACGTGGAATATAGGAACCTTAACGGGAAAATCTATGGAAGTAGTGGAAGTTATGGTGAGGAGAAGGATAAATATTATGTGCCTACAAGAAACTAAGTGGGTTGGTAGTAAAGGCAAAGGATCTAGAAAACTCAGGGTTTAAACTTTGGTATTCGGGCACAAATAGAACGAGAAACGGTGTTGGCATCATCGTGGACAAGACCTTGGTACAAGATGTTGTAGATGTCAAGAGGGTAGGAGATAGAATCATGGCAATCAAGATTGTAATAGGACAAGAACTTATCAATGTGATTAGTGCGTACGCACCTCAAGTAGGGTTGGATACGAGTTCGAAGGAGAAATTTTGGGAAGATCTTGGAGACTTGGTGCAAGGAATTGCTCAGACGGAGAAGTTATTTATAGGAGGAGATTTAAATGGACACGTGGGCAGGGAGACAGGCAACTATGGAGGTTTTCATGGTGGCCATGGTTTTGGGGAGAGAAACGAGGATGGGGAAGCTATCTTGGATTTTGCAATGGCATATGATCTCTTCTTAGCCAACACCTTCTTTAAGAAGAGAGAAGAACATGTGATCACCTACAAGAGTGGGTCGTCAAAAACACAAATAGATTTTCTTCTAATGAGGAAAGGGGATCGTATAACTTGTAAGGATTGCAAAGTTATACCAGGAGAGAGCGTGGCTAATCAACATCGCTTGTTGGTGATGGATGTACATATCAAAAGAGTAAGACAAAAGAACAAGACTTGGAAGTGCCCAAGGACTAGATGGTGGAATCTAAAAGAAGAAAAACAAGTCATTTTCAAAGAGAAGGTAATCACCCAATGTGTGTGGGATAGAGAGGGGGAAGCTAGCCAAATGTGGGATTCCATGGCTAGTTGTATCCGAAAAGTAGCAAAAGAGGTATTAGGAGAGTCCAAGGGCTTTGCCCCACACCAAAAGGAATCTTGGTGGTGGAATGAGGAGGTACAAACAAAGGTGAAGGCTAAGAAGGAATGTTGTAAAGCCTTATACAAGGAGAGGACCGATGAAAATGGTGAAAAGTATAGAAAAGCGAAGCAAGAGACGAAAAAAGCTGTCAGAGAAGCTAAGTTAGCGGCTTACGACGATATGTATAAACGACTAGATACCAAAGAAGGAGAGTTGGATATCTATAAACTATCTAGAGCAAGGGAAAAGAAGACAAGGGACCTAAACCAAGTGAGGTGCATCAAGGATGAGGATGGAAAGGTTCTTGCTACAGAGAACGCGGTTAAAGACAGATGGAGAGGTTATTTTCATAATCTTTTCAATGAAGGACATGAAATGAGTGATTCTTTAGGGGAGTTGAGTAACTCAGAAGAGTGTAGAAACTACTCTTTTTATCGTCGAATCCGGAAGGAAGAAGTGGTTGTAGCTTTGAAGAAGATGAAGCATAAAAAAGCAATAGGCCCAGACAATATACCAATCGAAGTGTGGAAACTTTTGGGAGAGACAGGTATAACATGGCTCACTGACCTTTTCAATAGGATTTTGAAAACGAAGAAGATGCCAAATGAGTGGCGAACGAGCACTTTGGTGCCTATCTACAAGAACAAGGGCGACGTACAAAATTGCATGAACTATAGGGGTATTAAGCTAATGAGTCATACAATGAAGCTCTGGGAGAGAGTCATTGAGCATAGATTGAGGCAAGAGACACGGGTTTTCGGACAAACCAATTCGGGTTCATGCCAGGGCGCTCAACCATGGAGGCAATCTATCTCTTACGAAGATTGATGGAAAGATATAGAGATGGGAAAAAGGATTTACACATGGTCTTTATAGATTTGGAAAAAGCGTATGATAGGGTCCCAAGAGAGACATTCTTTGGAGGATTTTAGAGAAGAAAGGAGTACGAGTAGCATATATCCAAGCTATAAAGGATATGTATGAAGGAGCAAAGACTGCCGTAAGAACTCATGAAGGACAAACCGAAAGCTTCCCCATAACTGTAGGATTACATCAAGGCTCATCCTTAAGTCCTTACCTTTTTTGCGTTGGTAATGGATGAGTTAACAGGACATATTCAAGATGATATTCCTTGGTGTATGCTTTTCGCAGACGATATAGTGTTGATAGATGAAACTCAGGAAGGGGTAAATGCAAAGCTTAACCTTTGGAGAGAAGTGTTGGAATCTAAAGGTCTTCGCCTAAGCCGATCAAAGACAGAATATATGGAGTGCAAGTTCAGTGCAAATGGAGGCCAAAACGAGTTAGGGGTGAGGATCGGAGATCAAGAAATACCAAAAAAGCGACCGTTTTCGTTACCTAGGATCTATCTTGCAAAAGAACGGAGAATTAGATGGAGATCTCAACCATAGAATACAAGCTGGATGGATGAAGTGGAAGAGTGCATCCGGTGTGTTGTGTGACCGCCGTATGCCATTGAAGCTCAAGGGAAAATTTTATAGGACGGCAATAAGGCCGGCGATGCTGTATGGCACAGAATGTTGGGCGGTGAAACATCAACACGTACACAAAATGGGTGTAGCGGAGATGAGGATGCTTCGTTGGATGTGTGGGCACACGAGAAAGGATAAGATTAGGAATGAGGATATCCGGGGTAAAGTAGGAGTAGCCGAAATTGAAGGAAAGATGAGAGAAAATCGGTTACGGTGGTTTGGACATGTGCAAAGAAGGCCTACTGACGCTCCGATTAGAAGATGCGACTATGGGACAGAGGTTCAGGGCCGAAGGGGTAGAGGAAGACCTAGGAAAACTTTGGAAGAGACTCTAAGAAAAGACTTAGAGTACTTGGATCTAACGGAGGACATGACACAGGATCGAGCACAATGGCGTTCTAAGATTCATATAGCCGATCCCACTCAGTGACTTGGATTTTCCAAGTCTTCAATCGAGAAGTTTTCCTCACTCGGGAAATTAAGGGAACACTACCCCAACCTACATGCTCCACTCAGAAAGCTTCAACATACAAGCTTCAACAAAAGAAAATTCAAAGAACTTAGCGAAGAAGACTTTGGTGTATTTAACACAATACGTTGAAATGAAGGAAAGCTTATTTATTGATATCCCCGATCAGCTACAAATATGTACATATACATGAGTCAAAATAAACACACAAGACGGAGCCTTCACAAAGGTTGCTTAGGAGAAGTCTCAGCAGTCGGTAGAGCCCCAGAAAGAGAAGGCACCGGAGGGGGATCATTTGGAGCCTCAGTACTGGACAGAACCCTAGAAGGAGGAGGCATCAGAGGTTGATCATTCGGAGCTTCATTACGCGGTACAGCCCCAGAAGACGAAGGCAATAAATGCCTTTGGAACAAACCCACAAATCTCTGATGATCAAGTAAAACCTGACCATCAGTTTCCTTCATCTGGTCAAGCTTCCTCTTCATGTTTGTAGCATAGTCATGTGCGAGCCGGTGCAACTGTTTATTCTCATGCTTGAGCCCTCTAATCTCCTGTTTGAGACTCATCACTTCAGCCGCCAAGGATTCAACTTGGCGGGTTCGAGCAAATAGGCGTTGGGCCATATTAGACACAGAACCTGCACACTGAACACTGAGAGCCAGCGAATCCTTAACAGCTAACTCATCAGACCGTTTGGAAAGTAGTCTGTTATCTTTGGGAGTGAGAAGGTTCCTGGCCACCACCGCAGCGGTCATATCTTTCTTCATCACGGAATCCCCAACGGTAAGAGGACCAGTAGGGGAGACGAAGGATGGGCGCCATATGTTGTCTGGAGAAGGCGGGGCTGCCTCTTCAACAAGGTTCAAGTCAAAACGACGGTCGGAGGGGCCAGACATTTTCAAAGGTGTTGAAGAGAGAAGAGGTCGGACAAATCAAGATCTTAGAAGTGCAAGAATGAAGCTTCTACTGGTGGAGATTCAAGTGTGCTTTGGAACTTAATGTCAGCCTCTATAAAAATCTGCACTCGACGGAGCTTCGGAAATCGAAGAGGCGCCTGCTCAGAAATCGAAGAGGCGTTTGCTTTCTCAAAAGCTGGGCTGCTTAGAGATCACGAGGGTTGATCTCAGAAATCGAAGAGGCGTTTGCTTTCTCTCAAAGTTGGGGCTGCTCAAAGACCACGAAGGCCGATCTCAGAAATCGAAGAGGCGCTCGTTTTCTCAAAAGCTGGGCTCCCCAGAGACCACGAGGGCCGATCTCAGAAATCGAAGAGGCACCTACTTTTCCAGCCTTGTCAGCACCCGTCACACGCACACTCAGCTTTGCAGAAATTATGGGCATTCTGTCGAAGACTTCTAGGGAAGTAGAAAACACATGAATCTTACTGTTCAATCACCCACTTCTCACACGCAACAATAGCTCATGGGTACCACAGATAACTTTGCCAAAGTTCTCTGCCAAAGTTGAGCACGTGAAGCTTGCAGCTCCCACTACATCGCTCTGACCAAGAAGGGTAAAAGAATAGCAAAGAAACAGCACTAACAAAGTTTAGACCCATAAATTTTGAAGGTCTAGCTACCATATTATTACCCACAAGGGTAAAGGAACAGTACCACTGCTGGATAATTGGAAAGTCCCTGTGTGTCAACCTCTGTGCTTCGTGGCAAGGTAGACTAGCAAACATGCCCAACCTTTACTCACATTCGAGAAAACACTCCCAATAAGATTGCTTGCTCCAAAATCGAAGAGGCACCGTCCTCCGAATCTCGAGAGCCAGACTCCCAACATGACTACTTTCTTAAAAATCGAAGAGAGGGTAAAGGAACAGTACCATTGCTGGATAATTGGAAAGTCCCTGTGTGTCAACCTCTGTGCTTCGTGGCAAGGTAGACTAGCAAACATGCCCAACCTTTACTCACATTCGAGAAAACACTCCCAACAAGATTGCTTGCTCCAAAATCGAAGAGGCACCGCCCTCCGAATCTCGAGAGCCAGACTCCCAACATGATTACTTTCTCAAAAATCGAAGAGACACTGCTCCCCGAATCTTCGAGAGCCAGACCCCCAGCATGATTGCTTTCTCAAAAATCGATGAGGCATCGTTCTCCGAATCAATCGAAGAGGCGCTCGCTTTCTCAAAAGCTGGGCTGCTCAGAGACCACGAGGGCCGATCTCAGAAATCGAAGAGGCACCTACTTTTCTAGCCTTGTCAGCACCTGTCACACGCACACTCAGCTTTGCAGAAATTATGGGCATTCTGTCGAAGACTTCTGGTGAAGTAGAAAGCACATGAATCTTACTGTTCAATCACCCACTTCCCACACGCAACAATAGCTCATGGGTACCACAGATAACTTTGCCAAAGTTCTCTGCCAAAGTTGAGCACGTGAAGCTTGCAGCTCCCACTACATCGCTCTGACCAAGAAAGGTAAAAGAATAGCAAAGAAACATCACTAACAAAGTTTAGACACATAAATTTTGAAGGTCTAGCTACCATATTATTACCCACAAGGGTAAAGGAACAGTACCACTGCTGGATAATTGGAAAGTCCCTGTGTGTCAACCTCTGTGCTTCGTGGCAAGGTAGACTAGCAAACATGCCCAACCTTTACTCACTTTCGAGAAAACACTCCCAACAAGATTGCTTGCTCCAAAATCGAAGAGGCACCGTCCTCCGAATCTCGAGAGCCAGACTCCCAACATGACTACTTTCTCAAAAGCGAAGAGAGGGTAAAGGAACAGTACCATTGCTGGATAATTGGAAAGTCTCTGTGTGTCAACCTTTGTGCTTCGTGGCAAGGTAGACTAGCAAACATGCCCAACCTTTACTCACATTCGAGACAACACTCCCAACAGGATTGCTTGCTCCAAAATCGAAGAGGCACCGCCCTCCGAATCTCGAGAGCCAGACTCCCAACATGATTACTTCCTCAAAAATCGAAGAGACACTGCTCTACGAATCTCGAGAGCCAGACCCCCAGCATGATTGCTTTCTCAAAAATCGAAGAGGCATCGTTCTCCGAATCTCGAGAGCCAGATACCACAGACCACTTTTTCAAAGTGCTCTGACAGAGTTAAAACATGTGAAACTGGCAGCTCCCACTACCGTGCTATGACCAAGCAGGGTAAATGAATAGCATTACTACCTGTTGTTAGGGAGACTCCTATATATGTCGACCTCCATCCCCAACGGACAGGCAGACCTGCAAAAATGCTCAACCCTTCATCATATCTGAGAGGGCACTCCCAACGAAGCCTTTCGAAATATTCAGCTTTCTTTCCCCCCCGATAATACCTCTGCAAACAAGCTATACTAGAGCAAGAATATCTCATATCATCAGGGTTAAAAGCAAGAGTATCCCATATCATGCTTTTTCCCTGTCTTTTCCTTTGGCCTTGTTTTTACCTGCAAGACAAGGAGAAAGAGAGCAATCAGTCAGCACTTGGATCAAGCTTCCAGCCAGGAACTGACTGCCTGGAACCCCTTACCTGATTACTTACCTGGCATTGCTCTCGAGTACTCATCTTCAACATCTTATGTTTCCAGGGAAGATTCCGCATCTGCTTGAGGAACAGATAGGGCAAGTGCGAAGGATACAAGGAAGCATGTGGAGACAAGCGTAACAGCACACGTGCCGATACACCCATTACTCTGTCAAAAGCAAAAGTATCCCATATCAGCAGGGTGGAACGTACTCTAGATTTGATGGACTTGTTTTGACCCTCAAATTCTTCAGTCGGTCTTATACTCTGGAGGAAACCAGAAAACCCTCCAGCTCAGTTCAAGAATAAGCCTGTGGAAAGTTACTTCTTCAAAAGCAAAAGTATCTCATATCATCTCTTCTCATTTTTCTTCTCTTTATCCTTCATGCTGCTGCAAGATGGGGAGAAGGTGAACAATCAGTCGGAGCTCTGATTGCTTACCTTGTCTGTCACCTCTTTCAGCAGACCCCCTAGCTCGGCGACTTGGGGGACTCCTACTACATGGTTTGTATCGCGCTTGACCAAGCCTGAGACTACAAGTAAGCTTCAAGTGAAATTGATACATTACCTTGTGCATCTCCACCAGTTAAAGATACCACCCCTGGATGGAGGAAGAGTACTTCCAGAGAAGATGCCACATCTACCTATGAGACAGATAAGGCAAGTCAAGACGACACCACACTCCGATACTTAGAAGTTTCGTGATTACGAGATCATTCTCCCACAATATTTCCTAATGTCATTTGTACTAAATCATTCACTTGTACTCACTAAAGGAGAGCTTGAACCTATGTACTTGTGTAAACCCTTCACAATTAATGAGAACTCTTCTATTCCGTGGACGTAGCCAATCTGGGTGAACCACGTACATCTTGTGTTTGCTTTCCTATCTCTATCCATTTATATACTTATCCACACTAATGACCGGAGCAATCTAGCGAAGATCACAAAAAGCGACCGTTTTCGCTACCTAGGATCTATCTTGCAAGAGAACGGAGAATTAGATGGAGATCTCAACCATAGAATACGAGCTGGATGGATGAAGTGTAAGAGTGCATCCGGCGTGTTGTGTGACCGTCGTAGGCCACTGAAGCTCAAGGGAAAATTTTATAGGACGGCAATAAGGCCAGCGATGTTGTATGGCACAGAATGTTGGGCGGTGAAGCATCAACACGTACACAAAATGGGTGTAGCGGAGATGAGGATGCTTCGTGGGATGTGTGGGCACACGAGAAAGGATAAGATTGGGAATGAGGATATCCGAGGTAAAGTAGGAGTAGCCGAAATTGTAGGAAAGATGAGAGAAAATCGGCTCCGATGATTTGGACATGTGCAAAGAAGGCCGACTGACGCTCCGGTTCGAAGATGTGACTACGGGACAAAGGTTCAGGGCCAAAGGGGTAGAGGAAGACCTAGGAAAACTTTGGAAGAGACTCTAAGAAAAGACTTAGAGTATTTGGATCTAACGGAGGACATGACACAAAACCGAGCGCAATGGCGTTCTAGGATTCATATAGCCGACCCCACTTAGTGGGAAAAGGCTTTGTTGTTGTTGTTGTTGTTGTTGGTCTCTCAATCTTTTCGAATGCCTTCGGAGAGGTCAAAAGTAACAGTTTTGAAGCTGAACTAAAAGTAGATACCAAACAAGATTTCAGTTTTCAGTTTTCAAAAAAGTAAAAACTTGAAACCAACACTAAAAAACTGTAAACGAAATGATTAACAAACAGGCCCTAAGGATTTCAAAAATGCACCTTCAACATACACACAACATTTCTCTGACACATGTAGCAGTATAAAACCTGAAATCATACACAATATCTATTCCTACAAAAACATCATTGAAATTGAGAACGCAAAACATTGAGAAAACCCACGAAAACCCTTATTCAGATCACCATTTTAACACAAAACTACCAAAACAATATCGTTCTCAAAAAACCCAATACAACCCATCCATTATTACCCAAAATCTAAAAACCCAAACATCAAAGCTCACTGCTTTAACTTTCCATGGCAGCAATATTACAATGGGCAATCTCAAAACCGGTCTAAAAACAAAACCCAGAAGGCGAAACATCGAAAATTGGATGAGAGAGAGGAGAGAGAAGGACCTTCAAGCTGAGAGTGGCAGAGTACTCGAGCTTGTGGGCTATGTACCGGCACCAGGTGGAGAGGGAAACCATCGCATAGAGAGACGACCGACCGCCAGCAGCTTCGAGTTGTTGCTGTACGAGATATATGCGTCGTCAAGCTTCCCCTCCCCCTTCCCTTTTTTCTTAGTACTGGTTGGATTTTATAATAAGTGGGTGTAAAAAAAGTTTTAAAAAAAAAAATGGTCTTAAAATGCTGTTCGATAAATATTTAAAAATAACTTATTTTTACAGTTCTGGATGAAAAAAATAAAAAATGTGAAGCAACAAAAACGAGTTTATTCTCATAATACAGCATAAACAATTTTTTCTCAAAACAGTGCAATAACAAACCAGCCCTTAAACCCCAAAAATAATTTGATCTTGAAAATTTTGGTATCGTGGGCTCTTGCAAATCGCAATTTTTTTGGTGTTCAAAGCTAATCCACTCCAGTATGATGTGTTGGAAATCAGTGTGTGCAACGACATGCCGTTTCACTGGGAAATTTTGGAAAATAACCAATTTTAGAGGCACAAATTGAATTATAGTCAAACTTTCTAACTTCTTAGACCTCGTTTGGTATGCTATATAAAGTACCAGATAGAACTCATAATATGGAGCCAAGTGTTTGGCGTCCATATGTATTAAATAGTCACCGGATTAATAGTTCGGCCCCACCTATTTTATACGGTGTACACCGCTTAGTTATACATTCTAAAACCACTGTATTATTTAGTCGGGTAAAAAACACTCTTGCTTATTTAGTGGGATAGAGTCCTCGAGCTTGTCGGGTAAAAAACATGTTAAAACCACTGTATTATTTAGTTGAGCCGCTATAATTGTTGCGATAGTCGGGCAGCAAACGCCCCGGCACTAGCCATTTCCTCATCTTTTAAAGCAAGTCCACCCATGGTGGTTGCTCGGGGGACAAGCTCCAAGAAAGGGTTCGAGGGCCGGTTGGTAGGCCTCTAGCCTTGGAGAGCCCGAGTGAGGGTGGGAGCCCGAGGGCCATGAGGGTGGGGAATCAACAGGTCTATGGCCTGAGGCCCGTGACGTCAGGCTTGAGTCTGGCCTTTTTTTTTAATTTTTTTTTTGTGTCAAGCGCGTGCCCCTCACTCTCGAGTGGGGGCACGTCGCCCGACCGGATTTCAGGGCACGGGCTCGCGCGAAGCAGAAAACCTAGTGATCGTTGGGAAGCCACGTGGCTTCCCACGGTCCGTTCGATCCCAACGTCTCTTTAATACGAGCCATCCGATTTGCAACAGTAATAAAAAAAAAAGATGATTTTATATCAACCGTTTGATCTGAGATCAACGGTTGATATTAATCTGCTTTATAAATTTTAAAAAAAATAGTTTTAAAATTAAGAGAAATTACCGTTGTGACACGTGGCACAATCTGGAGTGTTGGAATTCAAATTTTTTAAAATCCAACGGCAGAGATTAATTATTTGAATAAAAATTTTAAAAAAATTGTAAAAAATTATTTTTACTTTTCTATAAATACCACTTCTTCTCTATCTACCTTACACCACAATTTCATATTTTCTCAACTACTTTCAATCAAATTCCTATCTTTCTCTCAAAGTTTCAATCCAATTTTTTTTTCCACAAAATGACTACTGATGCAGGTACGAATTGGTCGTTTCTTGAAGATGTTGCGTTGTGCACTAGCTGGGTTGAAGTTACTCATAATTCCCTTACGGGTAATGAGATGTAGTTGCGAGAAATGTGGAGTTTAATTCATACCAAATTTCTTGAGCAAATAGGTGGGAAAAGAACCAAAGAATCGATGTCCAGTCGTTGGAAAATACTTTGCCATTCCTTTAGTACGTGGAGAGATGCCTTGACACAAGCTAGTAGTAATGTTCGAAGTGGGGCAAATTATGCGGATGGGTTAAGAATATATTATAATTATTTGTTTGTATTATTATTTTGTTACCTAATAATAGAATCTTTATTCATCAAATTGTTCACGTATAATGAAATTATAAAACACACCAAATAAAACTAAAAAACTCACCGAATGGAATTACATAAACATACCAAATAATAAAAAACTCACTACAAAAAACACACCAAATAAAATTACATAAACATAGCAAATACAAACAAACATACTAAATAAACTTAAGTATCTTCAGCTTGTTTCAATGCCCACTGGTGCTCTATCAAGTCAATTTGCCGATCATTGTGCATAGATGACCTTTGAAGTGTAGTATATCGTTGAATGACAATTTCATTGTAACGTCCATCCTTTTCTAATGGCTCGTGTTGTACGGGTTCTTCGGTGGCATCATGCGCACAATATATCTGTGTTCTTGAATTGTTCATCGTGTCTGGCTCTGGCTCATATTCATCAACCACATCATAATCGAACTCATCTTCCACAATCATGTTGTGAAGAATGACGCGCGTCATCATGATGGATCGAAGTGACTCTACATCGAACATTCTAGCAGCATCCTTGACGATCGCCCAACGAGCTTGAAGGATACCAAAACAACGGTCCACATCCTTCCTACACCCCTCTTGACAGCTTGCAAAGTGTTTTTCCTTTGCACTTCGCGGACGTGGCAATGTTTTGACAAATGTTTCCCACCGTGGGTAAATGCCGTCAGCTAGGTAGTATGGCCCGTCGTACCTACGTCCGTTGACGATGTACGTGACTTTTGGTGCCCTTCCTTGCAGGACGTCGTTAAACACTGGGGATTGGACAAGGACGTTGAGATCATTTTGAGCCCCCGGAACCCCGAAAAAGGTGTGCCATATCCATGTATCAAAAGATGCCATTGCCTCCAAAATGATAGATTTTGCTCATTTTCTGTCCCCATATGCGCCTTGCCATGCACTTTGACAGTTTTTCCACGTCCAGTTCATACAATCGATGCTTCCTATCATCCCAGGAAAACCTCGCATCTCGCCCTTCTTCAGAAGCCTTTGCAAGTCTATGTGAGTAGGTTTTCGGAGGTACTCTGCGGTGTACAAAGATTCGACTGCTCCGCAAAACCTCATTAAGGCCTCAAGAATGGTTGATTTCCCCATCCTCGTTATCTCATCCACTTGGTCTGCAGATGCTCCATACACAAGTATCTGCAATGCAGCAGTGATTTTTTGCTAAGGCAGGAGACCCATAACACCACAAGCATTCTTCTTTTGCACAACGTAAGAATCATGGTTGCAAACATCAGTCATGATTCTGTTGAACAAATGTCGTTCCATTCTAAAACGGCGTCTGAAGTATGTATCAGGAAATGCACTGTTATGGACAAAGTAATCGTCCAACAGCTCTTCACCCCGTCGTTGCCTGTTTCTATCAAGGTTTCTTGAATGGCTGGGCCTGCATATCTAAGCAACAGTCTGGATGACTCGACGGGAATGTGAGGCTCTGGCCATTCTTGTTTCATCATCTCTCCTTCTACGCTCTTCATCCTCTTCCATCTCATTTTCGGCTATCTGAAGGTTGAACATTCCTTCACATTGGTTAAACAATTCTTCCTCTTGCTGATCGATTTCCCACATCATCCTTGATGAAGAATAAGACATTGTAAGGATGGATGGTGAAGAAGAAGCAGAAACTATGAATAATAAGATAGAGATGTTGAGAAAATTGGTGTGAGATTTGTGAGGATGGATGGTGGATTATATGGATGATTCAGAAAGGATTGGATTGTAGATAAGGCCACGTGGCATGTCGTCATTCGTTAAAAATCTGATCAAAATCTATCCGCAAAGATTCTAAAAAGATAATGACATGTGGCACGATCGTATTGGATAAAAATCTTATCGAAATCGATCTCCAATAATTATCTTTTCGGATAATGACATGTAGCGCAATTTTGAATGAGTTAAAATCTGATCAAAATCTTTAGACAAGATTCTCAAAAGATAACGACATGTGGCACGATGACATTGGATAAAAATCTTATCGAAATCCATCGCTAAATAATTGTTTTTTTTATAAAATGACACGCGGCACAACGAGAACGATTTAAAAAATCTTATCCGAAATTATAAATAATTTTATTTTGTATTATTTAAACAAACAAAAAAAACTAATATTTTATTGCCTATTGCCAGGGGGGAGGGCTCCAAGGGTGGAGATGCAAATGGCAATTACTGTTCATTAAGGGCAGTTACTATTCATTAAAGGCAGTTACTGTTCAATATGGTGGATTCAATAGTGGATTGCCAGGGGGAAGACTCCATGGGTGGAGTTGCTCGTATGGTACCATTTTGCCTAAGCTTAGTAGGCAAAGTGAAATGTTCTGTTTAATGCATGAGTTGTTGTAATAATTTCTATGCACACAAGGGGGAAATTGAAAAGGATGAAATACATGTCCTTGGCATGTGGTGTATCAACTGAAAATATATAGAATAGTTTCTAGGGTAAATTACATAAAACTACTTCAACTATTGGGTCAATCACAATTTCATACCCTATCTTTAAAACATTTCAATGTCATACTTCATCTTACGAATTTGTTACAATTTCATACCTTCCGTCAGTTTGTCTGTTAATTCTTTCGTTAAATAGTGACGTGGCTTGAGACGAGGCCCACTCTCTTTTAAAAATTTTATTAAATATTAAAAACTAAAAATATAAAATCATTTTATTTTATTTTTTTTTGCATGGTGGACCCACCCCTTATCCCCCTCACCATTTCTTCCCCGCTCCTATCTTCCCCCAACACAAAACTAGAACCACCCTAAACTCATATCCTACCCACACCAACATCTCCCCCACCCACCCTCCCCGACCACTCATCCCACTCCCCCACTATTCTCTTCTTTCCCTAGAAACAAATAAATTTTGAAACAAAAAAATCCAAATTTTTTTTTGCAAGTGATCGATTTCGCCGATTCTCTCCCCATTCTTCTCTTCTCTTATGGCTGATTCTGCCGTCACTCCCTCCCCCTCCCACGACACATCAAATTCGCTCATCGCCTCCTTTCTCGAACCCCAAACCAAAACCCAGAAAAACCCGATTGAACCCACTCTCATTCAACCCCAAAACCCAAGCACAGCTGCATCCCGCCCCCTGAGCCAAAACCCACAAACCCTTGAGCAAAGCCCGAAGCTTTCTCCGAAACGGACGAAATCAAAATTTAGGGTTAGGGTTTGGGTGAAATTGGGGTTTTTGTTTGAAATTGGTTAC